TCGTTAAATATTTAATATAAATATATATTAATATTATAATATATTAATATACATTAATAATGATAAAAAGTATGACATTTGTTGTTATTAAATGATAGAATTCACTAAAAGTACATAAATATGTTATAAATAAAATAATTTTGTGATAAAAATGATAAATGAGGTTTATCTATTGTCAATACATTGGTCATTCTCATTTACACCTGAAAAAATAGCCAAAAAACACAATTTTTATAACTGGGCGGGGCTACCCGACACATTTTGAATCGAGCTGAAAAACATGTTTTTTTTAATTTCTATTTTTTTTAAGTTTAACTATTCTTTTTTTGGTTTATTCGCTGTGCATTATTTAATTAGATGATAAAACAATAGAAACATACGAAAATGTTGATTATTACTCAGTATTATACAGAAATATAAGCAATACTCCCTAAGTGAGCTGGGCTACCCGACTCTCCCCTATACCAAATCAAATTTATTAAAACAGAAATCAAGCATGGAGGCAAAACTTTTGCTACCACTTTAAGCATAAAACTAAAATCTATACATGCGGGGTGCACTTGATTGAACTCGCTCTAGTTTAAGAAGGTTGGAAGAAGAGGTACAGAAATATACTGGAAACCCATATTCAAGAATAGGCCTTATTAGTGCAATGTGCGTTGCCTTGAGGGTTTTAACATCCACACCCCTAAACTTGAGAATTTTTAGTCTTTTACGGCTCGTGTTGACCAAATTCTGTATTTGTCTATTGCTCGTAATCTCTTAATCCATTACAAATCCTAAGTATTTTGGGTGCTTAACGTATAAAAGAAGCTTGTTATTAAAGTTGACCTAGGGGCGATAAGAGTACATATGCTTGTTGGTGGTGAAAAAAATAACCTTTGATTTAGAGATATTGAAGATCTTTTCGTGGTCACTCGCAAATTTACACACATCAATTAGAGTTAAGTTTAAATTTGATTCCAAGTTTGTCGCATCTGAACCTGAGCACAAGAGAGCTCTCGGGTGAGTTGACATTTTTGTTAGGTTCTAATTGGAATGATAGTTACACTTTTCCAGTCCCTGGGGTGCATATCTCTTCTCCAAGAGAAGTATATTGTATCAAGTAGTTTTTGCTTAGCCAACAATCCAAGATGTCTAATTTGACCATGAATACCCTCTAGACCGGGAGGCTTTGTTAAGTTTGAATCCTAATAGCATGTTCTAGTTCATATAGAGAAAAATTATTGTTAAAAAGAGAGTTAAGTGCTGCAGTGCTGCGGCTGACGTGCGCCAAATTCCTAGCTTTGCGTTCAGTAGTCTTGTATTGGGAAGTGAGGGACAGCTTGCTGATGTTAGAATAATGAGAGTAATCCCAGTACGTAGGCCGCTTTGTAGTTTTTGGGAATTCACCAGTCTTCACTCAGAATTGCATTACTGGTCTCTGATTGAGGTTGCTTTTTGTCAAGATTCTTTACCAGTTTCCATAATTAAGAATCAGGAGTTTTAGAGTCGAGATTAGAACAGATATTGTCCCATCTCTTCCTCTTAAAAAGAGCGTATTCACGCTTAATTTTTGCATTTACCTTGTGTAGCACAATAAGGACAACACTAAAATCGAACCCTTTAGACAATTCTGCTCTCATATTCAAAAGGGGTTTCAAGGTATCTGAATTATGAATAAAATATTGGGTAAATATTGAATAAAATGTTCAACATTTCCCCGTATTTCGATGCATTGAAGATAATATACACAAGATTTCTCCACCCACTGCTAATATTGATGGAAAAAGAACCTGAAGAGACTCCAGAATCTGTGAAGACAGTAAACCTCTTCCAATCAGCTTTTCTGAAATTCCAGTATTTCTTGCAATCTGTGTAGACCCTTTGTTAAATGTCCATCTCAATATGAATGAGAAAATGATCGGCTTCAATATTATTCAAAACCGTCCAACTACAGTGGGGATAAATCACAGGACTGACGATGGAGAGGTCAAGAGCTTCGTTGGTACTATAGCTGTGAGAAGAATGGGTTGGGGGCTAGCATTTGGTATCACGAACCCTTTATCATCCAAACGATTTAGCAAGTCATTTCCTTTTCAATTTTCGTTCAAAGATCTCTTGGAGTGCGTTTAAGTCCACCAAGACAAAAGTATTGTTATCAGACCACTGAAACAGGCTGTCTGGCAAACTCAGAAAATCAGGTAGATAATAGGAATTAAAAACTTTGAGATTTTTCCCTTTCCAAGATATGAAATTTCCAGGATTTCAAGCAGAATATTTACACTTTGATAGTGGAGGCACCTGATTAGGAAAACCAATTCACCACCGTCTTCTCCAGTTTTCCTGTTCAAAGCAAAATATTATAACCCTTTATCTTTAGTGAATGGGACTCTTTAAGCTTGGTTTTTTATAAAGTGGTAATCTGGACGTCATGCGTTTTGGCTATTTCCAATAGTTGGTCCAGTTTGATCTTTCTGCCTTTTGTACTTCACCATTAACATTGTGCTGAAGAATGCGAATTTGTTTTTGTAGATACTGTGATTGATTTTTACTGTAAATGTGAAACTCGTGGAGAAAGTGGGAAGCAGCTTCTCTTCAGCCAAAAGACCAGGAGCACCGGAAGGAAGACTTGGTTCCTTCACCTGTATGATTCAGATGCGTATAATGGAATGGTCTTCACGCTTTGGGTAGCCCTTACAGGAGAATAATCTCCCAACGTACATCGCTCATTACATCAAGTGACTCCCCTCTGCCACGGTGAGGTATCATGCAGGACTAATTTTGGGTAATACGGTGTAGCTTAGTTAGAAGAGACTAGAGTCCCGGTATTTAACGCAGTTAGAGAGTTGCGAAAACGGATTACAAACTGTGATTGGCTTAGAGCCGAAATTTACGGTAAAGAAAGGAAATACAAATTTTCTCGTAGATTAAACATGAAGTACTCGACATTTTTAAACTTTTTGTAAATAGAATAGACGTCTCAATGCTATGTGATTATCCCCTCTCTATACTTTTATCATATCAGTTACCATTGCTTTTGAAAATCTTGCTTTTTCTTACAGGGAAGTACATTCCAACTTCTTACTAAAACGTACTGCAATGGGGAAAGGCAAAATTTGAAAAAATCATGGAAACAGAAAGAAGAAAAAGTCGGAGAGGTGGAAAATCACGTAACCTTGGGACACCTATTCTATTTACAAAGAGGTTCAGTATCTTTATTCAAGAAACTCTCAAAATTACGTGGTATGAGGAGTTATCAAGGCAATGGGACAGTTATTATATATACAGTCGAACCTCGCTAACTCGAACCTCGATTTCACTATTTTTTCGATATCTCGAAGAAAAAAAAATTCCCTTCAAATTTCCTATACACTCAAAGTTAAAAAAACTTGATTTCACGAATTTTTTTTTTCTAATCCCCCGATAACTTGAATTTTTTTTCCATAAATAGTGTAGATTTTCTTCTAAAATTAAAAAAATATTCCAAAAAAAATAAAAAGTTTTAAGAATGGCTGACAAGGCATGGAATGATGTGTCTTCCTCCAGTGGCGTACGCAGAATTTTTTCAAGGGGGGTGTTCATAATTTTCTGAAACTACTAAAAGAAATTCGAGTCTGTAATAAAGCACTATTATTTTCCTAATTTAGACAGCTCGACAATTTTGACTTTTTATTTAGACAACATTGCTTAGTTAAATTTTGATTTGATTTTTTAAGTTTAAGAGCATAATGCAATATCTTCTGAAAAAAGTCCGTCATATGGGTGGGAAGTAACACTTTGAGGGTCACTTTCACATTCATCAGATTTTGTTATGCTAGAAACGTTTTCTTCAACGGAAGTATCACATTTCTGTACAACAGAAAAACTTACATTGGTACTAGATGCTG